ACAACTAACAAGAACCTTTCATGTAGGTTCCACTTTAGAATAGGTAACTCTTTATAAAGGTATGGAAGAATAGTCAAATAATCAAGGTTATTCCTCAGTTAAAATTTATCTGGCGTTAGAAAAGTTAGCCTGGAATGCAGTACTGAAGTTAGTAACATAGGTTTAAGTTACTTTTAATGATATTACAAAAAGAAAATAAATTATGCTCTCATCTCCACTATGGCGGAACCGGAGTAGATTCTAACCGCGTGGCATTACATTGTATGAAAAATCTGTCGTAGGACAAAGCGCCAACCGCAAACGCAACCGTTGCCATCAGTTTCTTGGTTAAATAAAATTACGCGGCATAAAACCGCCGCGGTTCTGCTCTAGGCCGGCCGAGGTCTTATTTTTTTTTTTGGGACAATCCCGCCACATCCTCCCAAAACCGCTGCAACTCCTGTAAGCCAGGATCTGCAGTAGATACAACCATGAAAACACCGGAACACTGAAGTCCGGCGCGTCCCAGGGACATGAGTAACTCTCTTGGTTCCCGCAACGAAGTGAATCAGAAGATATTATAAGAGGAGAAGAAGAAAAAACTATAGTTTCACTTCCCTCGGTGAATTACTGCAGGAGACAGAATGAATTAAGCCTAAAGGCACAAAGAAGAGACTGTACAACGAGGTCTTAGTTACTAAAACCGAATATTTTGTAGGTCGTCTAGTACATAAATGATGCAGTTACTATGTACTATGTAACCTGATTTACATAAATGAACACCATCAAGTTGTTTACGACAGGCTCCCACCCACATTGCACACATCACTGGTTACAGCTTGTCACAATGGATCACACGGTTTATTTTATACCCCATAGAACATCATATTGATCATATCAGTGTAATGAATAACACAAAAAGTGAATTAACTATCAATCAGTATTTTAAAACTATCATAGTTAAAGGACTTCATAAGTACACTATCAGTAGTTTAACTTTAAATTGTCGTAGTCAAGACGAAGGCGTCACAAGAATAAGACTCAAGTTCAGTCGAGATTTTGGGATCGTCTGTAAACAAATCATTAATTTGAGATAAATAAGTCAAAAGCACGGAAAATTGGATAAAGCAATTTTGCAATAGGCTCATACTAACTACTTGCGTTTAGATCAATAGATCGATTAGGATGCGGAAAGGTGAAAGAACTCGTTCTATCATTATGGTGTGCTGACAAACTTTATGCTGGATACAGTATCTTCATACCTATTAGTTTTCATGAAATTTAAGGGTTCTCAAATGCTACGTCATTCATTACTATGCTCATCAATTTCACACAAAACAATAACATTTATTACAACAAATTACAATGAAATGAAATCTAATGAAAAATTGACAGTCATAACAAAATAATTTCGTTTGTAAAGTCCCTAATGTGCTGTCGCCGGTACCAAAGCAATCTGTGATTAATTTCCAATTATAAAATTAATTAAAGTGGCAAAGCCTACGAGTCTCGATTGAGCAACGTGTTCGTAAAACATTGTGTAAAACAGGGCTGCCCAAACTATATACCCACGCGGGCTAATTAAATTTCTTACAAAAGCTGGAGGGCCCGAAAAATATTTTCAGTTGTATAGTTAATGACAAAATTGTATTCTGTACTAACTAAACTGGCATACAAATAATACACTAAATTTTATTATTGTTGTTGCACATAAGATGAAGATTTTGAAATTAAAACAGGGGCGTAGCTAGCGCCGTATCTGCCGTATCAATTATACGGGGCCCCCGGACTACAGGGGCCCCCAACGTGCCTAAGCAAAAATTAATAAAAACTTTTAACAATTTTTATTCTATTTCAGTAAACACAAAAGTAAAACAAAAAAACATTTTTTCCCGCGTAAAGCATGCGTTCAAAGGTTGGCAGAAACTTAAGAAAAATAAAAGTAATTAAGGTCCTCTAATTAGGGCAGAGGGAATTGTCTGAAAAGATTTTCGGTTTTCACATAAATTATAAGTATTTTATGTACAAAATCTCTTATGAGAAATGTTTACCCTTCAAGGGCCTCTAAACAAATTTTTATACGCCCCCCCCCCCCAAGGCACGCTACGCCAGCACTGGAATAAAATGTGTGTCGCGGGCCACATGAAAACAAGCCGCGGGCCGCATGCGGCTCGCAGGCCTTTGTTTGGACAGCCCTGATGTAAAACAAACGTTAAGTCATTTGCGGAATAAATTTTGCAGGAAATTATGCAAATGCTTAAGTATTACGGACTCATTTTTGATCACACTTCTGGCGTTTTTATTTATTTTCTTTGCAAATACTTGTTGACTTGTTAGAAACTTTTGATTAAGAAACTTGATACTTACCTAAGTATCTAATACTTCACTAAGTAGCGGTGTTACAAGTTAATTAGGATCTGTAGCCAATTTGGTAGTGCTACCTATCTATGGCTAAGTTAGACTTATCTAGCCGTTATAGAGAAATGAGACTTCTGCCTTTCTTTACCCACAAATTCTTCTCTTCTTAAGTCCATTCTGAGCTAGGGACACTAGGATTTGAGGATGAATGGACTTTTACCAAGACAGAGCATGTTATACATTCTATGGTCACTCAGTTCACACTGGCATAAAGACTTATGTCTTACTGAGTCGATTGTAAGTTTGGTTTTTGATATTAATCCGTATTCGTAAGTAGGTATTACTGAACTTATCTCAAATGAACTTTTCCAAATTCTACATTCACATATTCATCATAACATCATAATCGCCCTTTATCCCTGAAGGGGTTGACAGAGGTGCAGTTTACGGCACTTAATACCACTATACGATGTAACAACCACTTTTCACTACTTCTGTTATAAATCCCATGTGATAGGGGTGAGCCTATGGCCATATACCTCACAATACTTATAAAAAAAATCCGCTAATACTTTGCTCGACCTAGGAATCGGACCATGATCATTTGACTACTGACTAGCAGTCGCACTCGCAACCATTCGACCAACGAGGCAGTCCACATACTGTGTCAGATAATATTATTATGTAGATGTGACACCATGATAGGTCAGTAAAATAATGAATATTTCAGTTTGAGTTTCAGTTTTCGCAGATTTTCTACTTAAACCCTAAGGTTGACTGGTAGAGAATGCCATATGGCATTAAGTTCGCCTTATGTACCATAAACAAATTATGTACATTAAAGAATAAATAAATAAATAAATAAATAGAATATTCAAATTGCATCGTCGGAATACCACGAAATATTTCGGACCGCAATCTCAAGACCAATACACAAGATTGGTACTGCGTCCAGTAAATTGCGGCGAGTCTCACTATCAGTTGACGATTTCCAATCAGCGGCCTTAGTACGAGTTTATTTTACGTTTAAAGTAATCGTAACGAGTACGCGTTCGGCGCTCTGATTGGTTGCTTCATTGGCGCCGGCCAATCAGAGTGCCGAATGCGTACTCGTTTCGAAATATCGTACCTAAATCAAACTCGTACTAAGGCCTCTGTTATTGGGTAAGTGTAGGCGTATTGGAGTAGCGTAGGTGGTCACAGATGGATAGAAGTTTATGTTCGTGGGTGACAATGAAAGATGCTAATTTAGATTGTTGTTGTTAGAACGTAGATAATACATTTACTAGTAAATGTTAACTTTTTGACTGAATTTCTAGGTAACCTAGACGTTTAGACTATGACGAGGCTTTTCATTAATAGAAACGTACACATTACATATAAACATCGGGCGTTTTATCCCCGAAGGGATAGGCAGAGACGTGCACATTACGACACTTAATGCCATTGTATAATGTAAACCAACTTTTCACTATTTATGTTATGAGTCCCATGTAAAAGGGGGCCTTTTGCCATATACCGGACACAATTTCAGACTCCGTGCTACTACGGATTTTTTTTAACCCGTTTTACCTGGGAATCAAATCTGTGAGACCCCTTGCCCAGTAGTCGCACTTGCGACCACTCAGCCAACGATGCAGTCGCACGTACAATTATTACTATTTTGTCATACTGTCTGACTCCTCTGGTGTTGCGGGCGTCCATGGACGGCTTTGTTTGCTTACCACCAGGTGATCTGTCGCTCGTTTGCCCGTGATTCCAAAAAAAAAAATTTAAATATGAAAGTTCTTACGAATTTATTCTTTCAATACCTACAAGGATAAACAAATATGTACTAGGTATCTAGCTATCTCGAAGGTAATACCTTCGAGATAAAACACAAAGTTAAGTAACAATACGTTAAGTGATTTATTTTGTCTTCAATGTGGATATTGTGATGTTAAAATTGATGTTAATATCAGCTTTTATGGAAGGGAAACACAATAACGCCCAAACCGTCTACAACATTTAGCAGATTATTTATTTATTCGCTATAAAGTTAGAATAAAGACTATAATAAAGATGATTATTGCCTTTCTTTTAACCTCGTTCATAATGTTGCTGCTGGAAGCTTTCTAAAACTGTGTGATTGATGCCATACAGACATATGCATAACCTCACGCCTGTCTCCTATGGGGGAAGACAATTTTTTATAAAGACATTTTTTTTTAAGGGGAATATCATCGAATGACTTCTCCCGCCTAGGTGAGGCGGGAGGGAGTGTCAGATTCTTACTGACTAAAATCACCTCGTTCCTTCTCCTGCACTTCGAGTCTGTGTGTCACTCCTAACCACCCGTTAGGTTCTCCGCGACACGCAAAGACAATGGAACGCCAATTGCTACAATTCTTACATACCTATTTCACTTCATCAACTGTCATGAGTATTTTCATGCATGCTCGTTGATGATTGATTGATATCAATGAACGATAATACAGTCAATCCTCAGTCTGATTAAGGTATCCCAATTTCAAGCCAAAAGACGTGGCCAACTCCCGACGCACATAGGTATAAATTCACAAACACATGACATCCAGGCCTTGAATAACCATTTGTAGTCATAGAGTTGTTCCTTATCTATTTTCCCAACTCGAAAATTAATGAAATGACGTCATTGTTCTCAGGTCACCGTGCCCACACCGTGTTTGTTGGGGTCCATGTGCCAGCTCGAAGACATTCGCATAGGAAGCACAAACATCATCACCGCAACGGAGAAAAAGATGTAGAGAGACCAGGTAAGTGGAAGTTCTTGATAGAATTATTACCAGCCCAGACATTTAAATTAATATAAAATAGGAATTCTGGCTGCAATGGATAATGGCTAGATAAATAATTTGACTGCACGGTTGGTGCGGTGGCTGGGCAACCGGCTGCCGTGCAACGTGTCGCGGGTTCGATTTCCGCACGGAACAACACTTTGTGTGATCCACAAATTGTTGTTTCGGGTCTGTGTGTCATGTGTATGTGAACTTGTATGTTTGTAAACACACCCACGACACAGGAGATAATCCTAAAGTGGGGCAAAGTTTTTTTTAAAAAACAATATATATTTTGATATCTAAGGACAGAGATGGATATGATATTCTGAACCCCTTAACAACTTCTATGTAGGAATTAAGACAAGCAATTAAGACTCACATTTAAATAGAGCTGGCAAAAAAGGTTTGACCAGTGACAGCTGGAACTAATATAGACTTAGACAAAATCAATCACACAACTGAATTATTCCAAACTCCTTTTTGCCAAGCTGTATGGTTTTCTATCATCTAAAAAGAACCACACAAGGATTCTTACGCCTAAATAAAGTGGCTACAAAAATAGCAACCGTAACAATATGGGTTCCTTTACCAAACATGCTATCACAGCACAATATGAGATGAAATGATTATGACGTCATTCGCACCCTTGTACAAAATTACCAAGCTTATAAAATTAACTCTTTTGACACGACACAATGAGGTTTGTTAGTCTCAACGGTGTTATAATTCAACACGACTTGATTAACATAGCTTCTTCAACATCTTATGAAATTATCGCCTTTATACCAAAAATGCTCAATGTTAACCAATCTCTAGGGCCGGGGTTAATGACACGAGTTAGAAGATTAAGCGTCACTGATGACGGCGAGACATGTAAGAAATCGTAGAAAAATAAACCCTATCTCTCTTTTTATTAAGTCCGTTTCACTTTTCCATTTTAAAATTTAGCTTCATTTCACCAACATTTCACTGAATAAGCATGGATTATTATTCAATCGGGATCTTTCCTTTCACTTTTATGTTTTAGGATTATTCAGCATGTTTCAATTTACAGCTTAAAATTTTTTCTATGATTTATTCATGAACCTTTAGGATTTTAGTGACTTCATCTTTCTTTGTTCCTAATATTTTTACTTCAAACTTAGAAATTTCGTTGTATAAATATTTTAACGTTACCAAATTGATTTTCAGTAACACCACCAGCGCAAAGAGTACAATTTATACTCGGTGAAGATGTCGATGACTCCACACTTGAGTCCCACCCTCTATTCTCCGAAATGGAGGAACTAGTTAAAGACGGTGATGAATTGGAATGGAAAGAGACTGCCAGATGGATAAAATTCGAAGAAGACGTCGAAGAAGGTGGAAACCGATGGTCAAAGCCACACGTAGCAACTTTATCTCTTCATTCTCTCTTCGAACTACGAAGTTTGATACTAAACGGATCAGTCATACTAGATATGGAGGCAAACTGCTTGGAACAGGTTGCAGATAATGTACTAGATAATATGGTAGCCGATGGCGGCATAGGATATGATTGTAGAGAGAAAGTCAAAGATGCTTTATTGAGGAGACATAGGCATCAACACGAAAGACGAAACCATCACAACAATATGTCAAGACTCCCTCTAATTCGGTCACTAGCTGATATTGGACGAAACCATTCATCATGTAAAAGTGAGTACAAATCATTCATTAGGAACATGTCCTAAATTCACGTCGCATATCGTATTATTAATTATAGTTTTTTAGCGTACATTATATGGGTCTTCCGATCCTATCAGATTTCCAGGAAGGTGGCTCTCGACGCTCCAGTTCGAGGAGTTGTCGGGGGTCCACCTCATCTCCTCACACCGCTCTTCTTCAAGCGTCTGACGCCAGAGGTTCTTATCTGGCAGTTCCAGGTTAGCCAAGCGTGTGGAATGGTACCTAACACAAATGCTCACTGAACTCACGCCCTTTAACTGACATTCACAGTAGCACGCACGAGGCTAATTTCATGTTGTATATATCGGTGTAGTGTTTGGTGAAGGTTTACTAATCAGAATGACCCTTTTATACTATGACCCTTATTCTAAGATCCCTGTGACCATTGGCATTATGTTATTACAGTTGAAGAAGGCGGTTCAACAAGCGGCCACTCTTACAAAGGAGAATTCAGTCGTTTCCTAGGCATCCCTAGCGCGGGTAACCGCTGGTCCTCATCAATGTTGTTTCTTCTCTATCTTGTTGTTTTCTGTTTCTTACTTCCTCATTATTCTCAGACTAGATTTAATTGTTTCCATCTAACTTTGCTGAACGCTGGTGTCCTTGTTTCAGTACAGTCTGTTCAATGTCTGCTTTAGCTTCCGCCTCCATTACTTTTTCAAAATTTAGTACTACTTTATAAAATTATCCAATACCTAAGTCATCCTATACTTGAGGAAATAAATTTTGGACTTGTGATTCGTGTACTTAAACCATAAAGTACGTTGATATGTACTTCATGTTTCATAATTCACTTTAAAAATTAATTGAACAATAAAATAGCCCATAAATACTACTACTAACACTTTTTTGTAAATTATTTACTTTTTTAAACTTTATATAATTATGTAACTGCTTTTTATAACACAGATAATTGCACATTTTTATCATTGGTGTCGAATGTCGATGTACTAAATGGCTTTAACCGAGTGAAATTTGAAAGTTCTGCAAATAAATCTGAAATCATATTATTTCAGGTGCTGCACATGATGATGGCATGGTGAAAAGTCCCAGCAGTATATCAATGCAAAGGAACCATAGCTCTGGTGACCTGCCGATGAATGGAGATATAAATCACAAATGCAATACAAACTTCATGCGAAAGATTCCACCAGGAGCAGAAGCGTCTAATATTTTAGTGGGCGAAGTAGATTTCCTAGAAAAAACTCTATCTGCATTCGTTAGACTGAAAACTGGAACAATAATGGGTGATTTGACAGAAGTTCCAGTACCGACCAGATTTATGTTCGTATTGCTTGGACCTCCAAACAGTAACTCTAGTTTCCACGAAATTGGCCGAGCAATGGCTACTCTAATGTCAGATGAAATATTCCATGAAGTCGCATACCGAGCTAAGAAGCGAGACCACCTTTTGGCTGGTATAGACGAATTTCTGGATGCAGTGACAGTTCTACCACCAGGGGAATGGGACCCAGCTATACGTATTGAACCTCCAGCGGCTATACCGTCCCAAGATCCTCGTAAACGGCCAAATGATAATCACCCTAAAGAGGAATTAGATGAGGAAGAAGAGGAGCAAAGACAGAGGGAAGAATCAGGTTTAGCTAGAACTGGAAGACTGTTTGGGGGTCTCATAAATGACCTCAAAAGAAAGATGCCTTGGTATTGGTCTGATTTTAAAGATGCATTGGCGATACAGTGTGTTGCCTCGTGGATATTTTTATATTTTGCCTGCTTATCGCCTATAATTACTTTTGGAGGGTTATTGGGGGAGGCTACTGGAAAAAATATGGCTGCAATGGAATCTTTAGTATCTGGGTTTGTCTGTGGAATGGGTTACGGCTTTTTTTCAGGTCAACCACTTACAATTTTAGGATCAACCGGCCCAGTATTAGTATTTGAAACAATCGTATTTGAATTTTGTCGCCAGATTGGTTGGAACTACATGTCGTTCAGGTTTTGTATTGGAACGTGGATAACGATAATTTTGGTTATATTGGTGGCTATCGATGCTAGCGCATTTGTCTGTTATATAACAAGGTTTACTGAAGAAAATTTCGCTACATTGATTGCATTTATTTTCATTTACAAGGTAAATAATAAATCTACATACATACCAAAAGCATACGCATATCATACAGAAGAGTTTTATATTCCAATTTTATAACTTTGCAGGCCGTGGAGAATGTAATATCAATAGGCAAAAAGTACCCTCTTAAGACACGCCCCGATGAAGTTCTCAATTATGAGTGTTATTGTTTGCCAAGCAATTACTCCAAAGTGCCGGAGCAGTTTAATTGGACATCGGTAGACAAAGAGTCTTGTCAGGTATATTACCTAATTAAATTATGATCTTGACGACTTTACATGTGTGGCTTGTATACCTCATTATACTAACGATCTAAACATACATGCTCTCACATTACAGCTCTATAATGGGACATTAGCCGGCGGCGGATGTGATACAAAAGTGTATGTTCCTGACGTATACTTAATGTCTATAATTCTCTTTCTGGGAACTTTTACGATATCTATCATTTTAAAGGACTTTAAGAACTCCTTGTTCTTTCCATCCAAGGTATGTTCAATCCAGAAATACTTATCATGAAGCATATTAAATTCTGTTGACCAATTAAAAACCTTACTTTTGTTCTTCCAGGTTAGACAAATCATCAGCGACTTTTCAGTAATCATTGCCATTTTGTCTATGTCCCTTTTGGATTACAAAGTGGGTGTGAAAACCCCAAAATTGGAAGTACCATCAGAGTTCAAACCAACATTGCCCTCCAGGAATTGGGTGATCACTCCATTCAGTGGAAACCCTCTTTGGTCAGCACTAGTGGCAATACTACCAGCATTATTGGGGACTATTCTTATATTTATGGATCAACAGATTACAGCTGTTATAGTCAATCGTAAAGAGAACAAATTGAAGAAGGGATGTGGATATCATCTGGATTTGTTCGTGCTAGCGATTTTGATACAGATATGTTCTGTGATGGGTCTCCCTTGGTTTGTAGCGGCAACTGTCCTTAGCATCAACCACGTCAATTCATTGAAAGTGGAATCAGAATGTGCTGCTCCAGGAGAGAAGCCACAGTTCTTAGGAGTTCGTGAACAGAGAGTAACTCATATTAATCTTTTTAATGATTGGGTGTTCAGTGGTTCTGACACCTGTCCTGAGCCACATACCAATGCCAGTACTGTTTGGAGTTTTTCTGTATATGGGAGTAGCGTCGCTAAAGGGGCTGCAGTTCTTTGACAGGATATTGATAATGTTCATGCCTCAGAAATATCAACCGGATCACATGTTTTTGAGACAGGTAAAACAAAGTTTTTGTAAGATCCAATTTATCCAGTTTCCCTTAAAACGATCAAATCTCCATTAATGTTTTGGATATTTTTTCCAGGTCCCAATTCGTCGGGTCCATATTTTCACAACAATCCAGTTGACATGTCTGGTTTGTCTCTGGGTTATCAAATCATTTTCTATGACCTCGATCCTCTTCCCACTGATGCTGGTGGTGATGATTGGCATCAGGAAGGCTCTAGACCTGTTCTTCACAAGAAGGGAAATGAAAATACTCGATGACGTGATGCCAGAAATGACCAAGAGGAACCAGGATGAACTTCGGGAACTTGGCGATGCGGAGGTGGGATGGCATGCAAAACTATTAAAATTTTGCGGTCGAAACTAAAATGTTGCACACCTTAACCATTTTAGTTTCCCTCGTCATCCTATCGTTTAACTAAATATTATTTTAGTTTTTGTTACTCATATATTTATGTGTTACTAATAAATAAACTCAGTGTTTTGTTGTCATATTCGCATTTTATTTTTGCTGTTTCTACATTTTTATTATTTCGTACCCGTTTACCTTATCTGTTACTTCAATATGGTGAGTAGTATCTGGTATCAAAATTTACTTCTTCTTTCATTATTAGTTCGTATGATTTCGATGGAAAAGTTTCTTAGGTTGTACCCTTATAGGAACCCACAAAAAGCAACCCGCCGCCGTACCAAGAGAATCTGCAAATACCTCTGATCAACGGGAATATCATGAACATACCTTTGACATCAATCAATATCTCGGAGGAAGTTAACAAAACCGGGATATGGAAACAAGTCAATAATAGTAACAGAATGAAAAAAGATACGAAGAACAAAACGGGTAAAAAAAAGTAAGTACCTATACGTTACAACTGTGTTCAAGTAAAACAATATCTAATAACTAAGAACTGGAACAACAGAGAGCCACTCAAAAAGATTAGTTACAATAAAACACAATAGTTACAACTGCTGATTCAAAACCAAACTACATATTCACAGTATTTTAAACCTTATGTCCCCTTCAGAATTACATTATACTTTGCCAATTTCGTACAAATCACTAATACCGTTAATGTTTTCAGTAACAAACACAAGAAATTAATAATGTCGAAAAATGCACAAACTGAAATCGAGAGGAGACTATCTACCATGGACGAGGTGGAAGAAGACGACTCATCGACAAAGGTGTGCGTCAATGACACCAAATTCTAAGTGGAGCATGATTGCACCATTTTTGGCGATTATGTGCATGTACAATTGTCACAACGTGCATGATACCTTTGTAAACTTGTATAGAACATTAGCGCATACAGGGGCGGACTTGACTTACTACAACTGACTCAACTTGACTAGACAAACGGACTGACTGCAATACAAGGGTCGCTTTAAAAATAATATATGGAATATGGTGAATAAAAAGCTGTATTTTTTAATACAGCTGTATTTTGAATACAGCTTTCTTTAATAACATAATTTAAGGAATATTGTTACTAACCCACAATTACAAACAAAACTATGGACAAAAGAAAAATAATCTGAAATAAAAGATTTATTATTATTATATTTATTAAATCATTAAATCCTATAATTTAATTCAGTTTGCTATCGAATCTCAACCCTATTAAATTTTATTTTATGACCAAGTCCGGTGAAAAAAATGGCGGATATAATGTCACTTAGAAAATTAAGTGATTGAAGTACATAAATGTCAGTGATTTTGTGGGCGTGTGTACCTAATGGGTTAATGGGTTACGTTACAAGACTTAAGAAAATGATAGATGTCAATGTCGTCCCCATACATTTAGTTTTCTACTCTCTCTGTAGACAAGCACTAAAGTGGCGTTTGGCTAAAGGCACTGGTACTACAGTCGCTGTTTCAAGAGACTGTTTCCGCCATTTTTCAACATCCTTGTTTATGACATAAATAAATAGGTAGATAGGGTCTCAAAGTTAAAGTAAGGATGGTCCGCCCCTGGATACCCTTAAATATTTGTTACTAAGCCCTAATTTTATATTTATATAGTTTAATTAAAATAATTATTGTAGTCTCTAGATGAGCACTATTATAGATATAATTTATAAATAATGTAAATAGTATGTATGTGTGTAATTGTGTATGTTATACCAGAATACTTATATGATTCATCGCGTTTTTTCCGAATAAGCAAATTTATTTTATGTATTACAATAGGTACACATCGTTTTTCTTAAATGTATGTTTTATAGAACACAAATATATTTTACAATTATTATTGAATTACTAAAACCGCGGTTAAGTCACGTGAATATACTGAGAAAAGCTCTACTAATTTCGAACCACAGAGGGGTTCTTCCTCATGAGCAGCGTGCGCGATCGCGGCGATGTCGCGCAGCCTACGTGAGTAACCCGCGATTTTTAGTTAATTTAGTATGTCTCACGATAGTTATTATAAAAACAGTATAATTCTTATATTTACACATAATTATTTCTTTCTCAGTATATTCACGTGAGTAACTCGCGATTTTAGTTAATTTAGTATGTCTCACGATAGTTAAAAAAGTAAAAACAATCATTATTGATATGTTTTATAGAAATAGTATAGTTTAGTTTAGAATGTCTTTAATATCTTTACATGAATATAGAATTAGTTATAAAATAGATTTATAATAAAAAAGAGCGATAAAATGAGACGTAAGTAGTTTTTTTATTATATTTATGTCAATGTATGTTTTATATAAAATATCCGCTTTATGTGTCTACCGATTATACGAATCCTGCACTCACCTTTATAGAATAAACATAATTATTTTCAATCTATAGTGCCAACGTTATATTTTAAGTAAAGTATGTTAAGTAAGTAATATTTTATAATACGTTTATTTATGCATGCAATAAAAAATGTAAAAACTCATTATCCATCCGACATAAATTTTTTCTATAGTGAATAGGTACCTAATATAGAAGTAGGCTTGCCAGACCGCCGGGAAATCCGGGATTGTCCCGGAATCTAGCCTCTTGTCCCGTGTCCAGGAATTAGCGCTCATTGTCCCGGATTTTGAAAAGTTATTATTTTTTAACAAAATAAACTAGCAACGAATGGAATGTCATGGCTGCCGGTGAGCGAGTGCGAGCGAGCTTAATAACAAAACATTATGTACCAAAAAACAAGGTACCGATCGTTTTTTAAGTGGGAATTTATTGATATAAGATTTATTTAAAGTACATAGTATCTATATATTTATTTTAAATTCTCTATAAAATACATTTTTAAATACTACTTACAAAGACAAAAATAATATTTAAAAATATAAAAAATAGGAGCCGACCATTAGCGGGAGCATGGTCCAAGCTACCGGTGGTTAGGGCTCCAGAGACAGAAACCTCCTCACGATACGTGCCGTTTCAAGGAGAACTGCCTTCTGTATCAGGCCCATAGTATCTTATTATTATTGTTTTATTCTTCAGTTTATTACTATTTCATTTATAATTGAGTAATTGTCTACCAAAGTTTTAATTTACCAATTTAAGCTAATTACATACCTACAGCTAATAAAAAAGAAAATGGCATTTCATCTATTAAATATAAATATGAATCCTTTGAAAATAAATATATGATTTTTTCTATTATGGCCACGACCCCACATTGTTTTTTTTTTTAGAACTGTCCCGGATTTGATAAGTTCCTATCTGGCAACCCTATATAGAAGCCAGAAACAAAACGAGATGGGCAAACAAAATGGCTACATTTTTTATGTATTTTCGTGCAATTTCAGCTACACTTAAAAGCACTAATGTAAATACAAACCAATATAAACTTTCATAGTAGATATAAGGGCTAGTATCCTATATTTTTCTAATACACAGTAACTTTTTCGCATGTTTTTTTTTTGTAATTCTATTTTGTGCTTGTATAACTAAATACATTTTCAGAATGAGCACGTAAGGCGCAAAGATTCATGGAGCAGCGGTATAAGAAAATCTGATTCTAGAAAAGGTAGTTCTTCAGCTGAAACTTCGGTCTAAATATAAATCTAGAACAATCTAAGTCTAAAACTCATTTATATCTATCTACTCTTAATACTCATTACCGTCATATTATGTAGTGTTTAAGGAAATTGGCACAAAGTGTGTTGACATAAATTAGTAATTATGCGTACTATGTTTATTTTTCTTTGTTTATTGAAGTTTATGGTCAGCTACTCATTTATAGGCATGTCTAGATGGACTGTCAATAAGGGCTAAAATGAAACAAAACTACAAACCAACTGTTTCTAGTTTTGTTGTAATGGTACTTGGACTTCACTACATACCTAATATAAAAAAGTCGCTATCCTCTGTCTATCTGTCCCTATGTATGCTTAGATCTTTAAAACTACGCAACGGATTTTGATACAGTTTTTTTTTAATAGAGTGATTCTTAAGGCATTATGTTCGTATGTATAATACATGTATATTGCACCCGTACGAAGCCGGGCACCGTCGCTAGTCTACAATAAAGTTCATTTTTTTGTAATCAATTACAGATGATATGTAATCAGTTACAAATGAAACCTGTGTTTGTATAAAATGATAACAGTTGATGAAGAAATAATTTATTTAAGAACAGATAGTATTTTATTTACTCCTTCGTAATATTTTGTCGAAACTTTGTTATTGTTAAATGCCCAATAGATATATCATTTTTTATCTAACAATCCCACTAGACATGCATTCTAATGATTTAAAGTTTTAAATAATTTATTTTTTGTCCTTTTGATGATAGATTGCCATGTGATTAGTGTTAGGTCTTCGAAACTAATTTCAGTGTCAATATGCAATAGATTGTTACGTGTACGTAGGTAATTGGGGAAGAATCTCAAGTCAGTATTAACGTTAATAAAATTAATGATATCCGTCTTAGATATTTGAGAAAATCTAATTTAGAAGCACCTGTCTTTACTTTTCTGTTGTACTATGTATTAGCTACATGTTATTAATCAAATAAGAAAGATATTATGTATCTTATTATGTATGATTTCTTATTGCGTATTGAAAAATTTTCTCAAATGTTGTTTTTTTATATTTTCTTAAATGTTAAATAACACTTAAGTTATCTGAATGTAAAATTTCTTAAAAAACTGTATAAGATAGATTTGTTTTAATTTTAATGTCCAATATTTTGTGACATTCCTTTATACTTATTAAACAACATGTAATAAGATAAAAATACCAAAAAAAGTTAATAGAATCATAAAAAAATATTAAAACGAAGTGCCAATAGAGTAACACCATTAGTTTTTAGATAATCTGTACAATTAATACCAAGATAGGAATTTTAGATGTCGCCAAATAGGTTTTTGACATATTGTTATGATATAAAAAAAATATTTTAATTTTCTAAGTAGGTACGAAACGGCACATCAAGCTGCACTTCAATCTTTAATAGATTTTCAACTATATTGTTTTGTAATAAAGTCGAAAACGTATTGAGGTTATTTGACAGTTGAGGGATCTTTATGTGCTGGGCTATGTACAATCGACCAATTTGAATGATGACCCACCCGCCATAGGCTTATTCTCTCACGGACATTTTAATACAAATTAAATTAATGTTCACCTAAACATGCGTTTCCATGGAAACGATCTCAGCTTTGGTTATTTTAAAATGAAAGTGAATCATGATTCAAATTGCCGATGGTATATTTCTGTTATTTATAAAATATTTCGTAAGTAAATAGCGTAGATTCACAATGTTATTAATTATTGTGTAAAATTAGACCTCGTAATAATCAATTATGTGAATCGAGAGTCAGTTAATCAATTGAACATATACCTATTTTATTATGTTAGTGTTACTTAGTCACTAGTATTATTTATATTTTCTATGATTTATTGTTGGTTATTTATGTATTACTATTTTTTAATGCTTTGTGTCGTATTTTTCAGTCCTACTCAGTATGAACCTATAATAAAATAATGAAAAATATCGACATAAATACATGCGAGCGTCAACAATTTTGCCCAGTACATTATTAAGTCTTTGTCAGTACCGACAGTCCACTGGACTGGACTATAGGCCTCCTATCATTATTATCATCATCAGCAGTCAAAAGACGTCCACGGCTGGACAACACCTCCCCCCCCCCCTTTTCCAGTCCTCCACGTCGAACGACATCTCGCCACTTGCATCCACTGACTACGGCGAGGACAACGTATGTAACGTGCAAAATTGTATGAGAAAATAGAACTTCAAATAAATAGACTCTATAATATTTATGTACTAATCCTTGTCTTATATAGAAATATTTTCTAGAACACTTTCGAGCACTCTTCTATCAATATTATCCCAATTTGTCCCTGTAATCCTATCTCTGTATGTTCTAGAATAAAATAGCAATAGATATAAGTATTTAAATATAAGCAAAACAATTATTATTTGTACCTGGGGCGTTTGTTACGATTTGTATCGTTTTTGGAATATATTTGTGGAGTGTTATGAATAAATGGGTTTTTTATAAATGTACTTTTTGTTTTAATTCATACCTATAAAATTAGGGGGCAATGATACGAAGTCGACGACTGTACCTGTAATGATTACACAAACTACTTTCAACTTTAGCGTTATCGTTCTAAAGCCGATAAAACAATGTCAGTATTGAACGCGCAAATAAGAAAAAAATATTAATTACTTTGACTTACCCATGGTTATAGAGATTCAGAAAACTTCAGAATTTCAATTTGCATTTTCTCTATAAATAAGATAGTTATCTTATGCCGGAATACTGAAACGTTACTCAATTTTAAGTCGTGCTTAAATATAGTGCCATCTCTGTCATTTTACAAAGAATTTGTAGAGACAGAACTATACTTAAGCACGACTTAAAACTGAGTAGCGTTTGAGTATTCCGACATTAGATAGCCGAGTTCGTCAATCGCTCATTCTCAGCTGAATAGTTGCAAGAAGATAATTTTGTCTAAATTCTCAATAAATAAGCTAACTTAAATCTTGCAAAAATTAAAAGATATTTATTATAACACTTCGATGTGTTTTCCTAGTCAAATTGTAGTTAGTTAATACTAAACGGGGATAAAACACGAAACAACTTTTTAAAATCATTACATTATAAATACATTTATTATTATACTAAATATCGCCTTAAAACAATGATAAAAATAATTGTATAGATCCTGGTATACGCAAATTATATATATCAGATACGCTAAGGTACCATTTTTTGCGCAAATTGCGCAAACTTCATATCCCCGTTTGCGCAATGCGCAACTTTGTATCAAGTGTGTGCGCAAAAATTATTTACACACAATTTTACATATCATATCCATATATTTTTCCTGATACTGAAATGTATAGAAATTAACATAATTTCTTATTAATCTCGTATTTTATTTGAAATTTCAAACTATTGGCACTAAAGATCACAATCAGACTAATGTCAGATTGTCTCAATGTGACCTGATTAATTTTTAAGGTCAGTATAATACTGCACCTTTCAAGTATGTGATGAACGGCATGTGTGCATGTACCGCACGTCAAAGATTTAAGTAGATATATATCAATATACACATAGTTTGTTGCGTATAACCGGACCATAAAATAAATTAGTCTAAACATTAACTAGGCGGTTAATTCTTCTTCTTCTTTTGGTCTGGTAGAAGGCCCATGTCTTCTTGGTGTTTTCTGATCAGCTTCTCCTGGACATCAGGTAAGCAAGGGGAGTATCTGCTGTATTCCATGCTGAATTCTCCCTTGCCTTGTGTCATTGACCTGTTGAAGAGAAATGAAAGTTGTAAATATGACCGATCAAGTCAAATCGGCAACGGGAAACCCAGTGTCGGACTGCGCACGACAATCCACAAAAAGGCAGAGATTGCGGGAGATCGTAAGGAAAGCCGTATCGGCCTCCAACACAAATCCGGCCGCCTCAACGTGACCACCACCGCTCTGCCAAGAGCGAAACGACAGAGAAGAAGTATGTTTTAGGGAGTTTAGTCTGATTTGAATTTAAAAATCTTTTCGCTTTGATATCTCATTGTAAATACTTGATATTTGAGTATTATTACAAGTTAAAATACTTTCAAACTGTATGTGACTACGACACAATACACGTCAACACAAAAATGTAGCACTTTATAAACTAGTTGTGTTATGAGGCCCGCCGAAATCGAAGACAGCCTGATGCCGAGATTTGCATGCGTAATGACGTAATATCGAAACGAGCCCATTACCAAAGCAAGCTTATTACCAAGCAGAGCCTATTGCTGTGTCAATACTAGCGCTAATAAAAAAAAAATCTCACCTAAGTTCACCAGCATATCCGAACATGTTGTTTAGAGGTACTTCAGCATATATCGTGGTCCATCCTTCAGTTCCCTCCGAGCCAGTGATGATACCTCCTCGCTTGTTCAACTGCCCCACCACGGTACCATGGAACTCCTCCGGTAGAGTTACTTCCACGAACATTATAGGTTCCAGGATCTGCCAGGCGCCGTCGTCGAATACTGAAAGTGGGTAGGATTATTAATTTTTCTTTCTTTATTTTAGCTCGGATACAAGGCCGGGTTTGAGGGTTAGTACGGGCCGAAGCAAAGTGCTTTCCACTATATATTCTTTTTTTTTTTGATGGGGGAAATCATCCAATGACTTCTCACTGTGAGCTTACCACTCTGGTGAGGCGAGAAGGAGTGTCAGACTCTTACTGACTAAAAACCACCCCGTTCCTATTTCTGCACTTCGAGCCGGAGCCCCGGCAACCCCAAGTCCTCCGCGGCTCCAGTGCTAACCGACTTGGATGTCTGATAATCTTATTATTACTATCTCATAAGCATACATAAAGTTTGTAAGTATCTGAATACAATAAAATTTAGTTTTTCAAGTTTCTAGATTGTAAATATTTGTCTTATAGCACTAGGACACGACCCTGTTGTAAGCCAGCTTAACTACATCTTGATATCACGCTTAACTCGTCGAGTACCGTCATTATAGACACAATTATAGAACAATAGGTTGCGGTCACCGGTGACCGCTTGGTGCTTGACAGTTTAAAAGGCAACCATACCTAAACTAAAAGAGGTTTATTGACAGTGGCAATAACTTTTGCTTACTTAAATCTTGAATAATTTTTGAGAATTTCAAAATCAATTACAATGATGACCCAAAAATCGAAACTCAGACTAGAAAGATCAGACTTTATAGTAGCTTACAAACGCAATACCACAGAACTATAAAGATTGATCCCTACTCCTTACAAAACAAAGTCCATAATTAATCAACTCACCTTCTTTAACGGCTCCCTTAGCAGCCAAGAAGAAGGCCAGTTCACTTGAGTCCACGATATGGTGAGCACCGTCTTGCAACCTGAACTTCACGCCAGATACTTTATGTCCAGACAGGTAGCCTTTCTGGCAGGTGTCCAAAAATCCTTTTTCTACGCCAGGCACAAATTGCTTGGGTACATTCGTACCTATTGTTTCGTCTATGAATTCTAGGGCTGTAAGACAATAATTAATGTTGTAGTGATGGTTATTAAATTCAAAGAAGGGGCTTATTTTTTTATGGCATAAACGAGCAGACGTACACCTGATGGCAAGCAATTGGCGTCGCCCATGGACACCTGGAACACCAGAGGCGTTACAAGTGCGTTATCGGCCTTTTGGGGATTAGGAGGAGTTTGAGGATCGTTGGGGATTCAGGAATTGAGGAGATTAAGGAAGGGGAGGGTAATTGGGCCTCCGGTAACCTCAGTCACACGACGAAATACAACGCAAGCGTTGTTTCACGTCGGTTTTCTGCTCGGCCGTGGTATCACTCCGGTCGAGCCGGCCCATTCGTGCCGAAGCATAGCTCTCCCACACTTAGACACGTTTTCATATTGTTCGTCGAGATTTTTGGAACTTCCCCATCTTAATAATCGAATTCAGAACTCAATATTTATTTGCAATAAGTACTTACTAGTATTTTGATGTGGAGGCAATGGTTCCATGATACCAGTGACCCTGGCGTACTGACCAGCACCACCAGACTGCTTCTTGTGGAGGTAGTCGAAGGAACAAGGGGACATCATTGTTTCTCTATTAGGAACAAGGATAATAATAATAATATTAACATTAATTTAGTCATATTGCAACGTCATAATATAAGGACATGTGATGTAATATGATGATTTATTTAAAACTAATTGTACTTCTAAATAAAAAACCTTCCAGAATGTAACATCAACCTAATCAACCAGGCAATACCACCAATAAATAGTCAGTGTTATAATGTAACAATATTAAAATTATAATATTACAGGGAAAAATACCTTTACATTTATCAACAACAAAAATCACAGAATTTTACCAAACTACCTAAATTAAAAAGTCTAAATTAATTATAAGCTCAGAGACTCATATTCATGAGCAGCAATCCTAATATGAGCCCTTAGCATGGCATGAAACTAGTCGAGTTCCAGGTCAATCACGTGAGTAAGCCGAAAACATAAAAAGTATGTCTCAAAAAAGTTTTAATATAAATACTCTATAGGTTAATATTACCTGAACGCCACCTTAGGTTTGCCCAGCTCGACAGGACAGTTGTATTCTCTCTCCATTCTCTGGGCGTAGATCTCTAAATGTAGCTCACCCATACCAGAGACAATAGTCTCTTTGTTATCTGGGTCATAACGGAATTGGAATGTAGGATCTTCTTTGGTGAATCTGGAATAATAGAAAAGAAAATTGAAGTACATCATCAACAGCCTATAAATGCCCACTGCTGACCAAAGGGCTATTCTCGCAAGGAGAAGGTTTGAGCATTAATCACCACGCATGCTCAATACGGGTAGGCGATTTTAAGCTTATATGTAAATAGAAATTATAAGCCCAGGTTTCCTCACGATGTTTTCCTTCACGGTTTGTCAGTGGTGTCTAATTGTCTATATAATCTTACAAAGTACATATAACTCGGAAAAAGTAACATTGTTACTTGCCGTTGGTAGGTTTCGAACTCGCATTCTCATATAATAATATGAGAAGCGGGCTTATATCTCCGGGCCACTTACTTTTATCAGAATAATAGCAATGAAACATATATTATATTTACAACATTATTATAGCATGAGGAACACCTCCAAGTTCAGTGCACCTTTATTACCAGGAATTCTCGAAAACCTCAATATTCTCTGCTTAGTTCAAGAATAGAATTTGATACTAATTAGGAACCCTTTCGATATTACGCCACCATATAAGCAGTACTTAGGTATTAACTTAGACAACACAAAACTTTTAATGCAAAACAATATAATCATTCTCTTTTTTCACTCACCTAGCAACAGCTTTCGAGAAATTATCTCTATCTTTATTATTCTTCGGTTTGATAGCCATGGAAACAACGGGGTCAGGTACGTGTATAGATTCCATTGCCAGTTGTAGCTTGCCATCGTTGACAAACGTGTCACCGGACGCGCAATCTACGCCGAACAATGCGAAGATGTCGCCGGCCATCACTTCTGTTACTTCTTCCATGTTGTTTGAGTGCATTCGCACTAGGCGAGAGATTTTCACCTGTAATAATAAACAAAATTGATCGAAATACTGTTACAATTCTATAAAAAAAAACTCTGAATCTTACATAAAACATACTGTCTTGTTATCCTTACTAATATTATAAATCTGAAAGTGAGTTTGTTTGTTTGTTCCACCTTCACGCCGTAACTACTCAACCGATTGCTTTGAATTTTTGCAGACGTAAAGTTAGAAATCCGGATTAAATAATAGGGTACTTTTTAACCCGGAAAAATTTGATATTCTCGAGGGAAAACGAAATTATTGGTATAGATGGTGCTGTGTGTATTGGTATATGTAACGTAGGCTACTTTTTATCCTTTTGTGATGCGAGCGAAGCCGCGGGTAAAAGCTAGTTCTAAATAAATTAAATTGAAAAACTATTATTTTTGACAGTTGTAGTTCTGCATTACTTTTAGGATTTCTATTTCTTCAAATGTCTTAAAGGATTTAAACTGCCACGTCTGCAGCTTATAAAGTTACAATCAAAATTAATAGCTTATCACCTCACCTTCTTATTAGTTCTAGCATTAAAAATATTCTCTCCTCTCTTCAACATTCCCTGGTAACATCTCAAGTATGTGAGCTGACCGAACTTGCTCACTTCCAACTTGAACGCTAAGCCAACAAATGGCTTCTTATCATTCCTCGAAGGATCCAACACAATTGTTTGGCCCTCTCCCTCCTTATCTTCATTCAACATGGCTGTGTTTTCCACCTCACCAGGGTTTGGAAGGTACTCCAGTACAGAATCAAGCAAAGGTTGGACTCCTTTGTTCTTTAACGCTGTGCCTACGAGAACTGGGGTGAAGGAACGTTTGAGGGTTGTTCGTCGGACGGCCTGCTTTATATCTGCTACTGTTGGTGTTTTTTCTTCAAGGAATAGTTCTCCTGTAAAGTGCAAGGAAGAGATTATATTGTGAAAACTTCTGACTTCTATGACTCTCATCTAAATTTTCTTAGTTTATCATACACCCAAATACTGAAAGGCTACTCAATTTTAAGTTGTACTAAAATATCGAGTCATCTCTGTCATTTTACAAAGAATTTGTTTTGACAGAACTATACTTAACCCATAAATCCTAAAGTCCCCAGTGACTGCTCTCCACTAACTACATTATAGACCTTATTTGCAATGTTTAGATACTACTTTTGTATGGACAAATTTAGGGGATGAATTTCAACGGGTTAACCATGACTTAAAATTGGGATTTCAGTATTTTGACAAAAGAATCTTGGTAAGAAGTCATTATAGAGTTTGCTATTGAGAATATCTTGATAGAATAAGTGCATAAAAAAATATTGTATAGTTAGTTCCATACAATTTCTAAAAAAAAGACTACTTTAAAAAACCTTGCGCAGAATCTTACAATAAACCAATAACAATACAAAAAATAAAACTTACCCAAAGTCTCATCAACATTGGACAAATGCTCAATTAGCTCATGTCTCCTCTCCTGTACTTCTGCTCTATTGTCTTTCGGTACCTCATCGTACCTGATGGACTCTCCGTAATCACCATCAAAGTAGATAGCTCTCTCCTCAATCAGATCTAAGATACCTTGGCATTCTTTCTCTAATCCTATTGGAAGCTGAACAAATGCGGCATTGTGGTTCATTTTGGAACGCATTTGTTTTATAACCCTGGAAATATAAATAAGAAAATTGAGAACTAATCAACTATTACTAGTGTTGCAATTTAAGCATATTATTTCTTATAAAAAGGAAACCTGAATAGGTCATTCAGAAATACAAATTAATTAGTCCTTGATTACCAATGACTTAAAAAACAGATTTGAATATTAAATTATTATGTTTTCTGCTTACTCACATAATAATTTGACAAGGAACTCGACTAGCTTCAAGCCATGCTAGAGGCTCATATGAGCCTCATATGAGGTATGAGGAAAACATAATAATTTATTTAGTATGTCTCATGAAAGTTACTATATAAATATAGATTTGAATATTTTTCGGATCCAAATAGAATATAATAGACATAGAGAACCAAAACAAGCTGTAAAGTTAATTTTCAGGAAATCAATAATTAATACACAAATAGTTTACTCACCTATAAGGATTAGCTCCCATCCTATCAAGTTTGTTAATAAAAGCCAGACACGGTACATTATATCTCTTCATTTGTCTGTTTACAGTCAAAGTCTGGCTCTGTACTCCACCGACAGCACATAACACTAGCACAGCCCCATCCAACACTCGCAATGCTCTTTCTACCTCTACAGTAAAATCTACGTGGCCAGGAGTGTCTATGATGTTGATGTTGTGATCCTTCCAGATGGTGTAAGTGGCTGCAGATTGGATAGTGATACCTCTTTGGCGTTCTAACTCCATAGAGTCCATGACAGCACCCACATTGTCTTTGCCTTTGACCTGTATAGTAAATTTAAAAATTAATATTGTACTTTGTTTGTCAATAATTTCCAATCTATATTATATGTCCTGTAGAATAGTCTTGGCTTTTAAATTAAAATAATAGCCAAGATAAAAGTTCATAATTTATCAGCTAATCACGAATCAGTGTAGAGAAGAAAATTTACATATTATTATATCCTTCTTTAAACTGTTGTACTTTGCCCACAAAAATCCGCATGTTCTTAGTCTTAGGATGAAAACATAGTTTTAGAGAATATAATATATTACGTACCTCATGCATTTGATCTATTCTGCCGGTATAGTACAGTATTCTCTCAGTAAGAGTGGTTTTCCCTGAATCTATATGGGCAGAAATACCAATGTTTCTGATCTTTTCCAAAGGCTTGTGTTCTGCATATTTGACGTGTGACGAGAATTTCTGTAAAAATAACACAATTCATTCACTTTCAAGCAATTCAATCACATTTATTTTAAAATTGAGAGCATATTAAAATTACGTAAAAACAACCGGATCAGTTCGGAATTTATTTTGTGGTACTTAAGTCAATATTTACCTCGATTTGTGAAACATTTGATTTATTTACACTCCTAACAACGTTTGATAATCGTAAAAAGTTTGAAATCGTCATTTTAGTTTCATAAAAATTAAATTATCACAGAATTTATAGAATTTTAGGTTACTGCTTCATGTCAATGTCATGTGGGGCTGAAGCTGAAGAGCACAGCACATAGATAGTAGAAAAGAATAGGACGAAAAGTGGGGATTCTAACAACATTTTATCTATGGTAAAGGGGCTTTTTATCCAGGAACTTTTCATGAGGATAACTGTGGGACAACTAAGCTAACTCAAGGGGATATATTTAGTTTAGAAATTATGTATTAACAATTTGAATTTGAATAACCAAATATCTGGTGTTAGATTTTTGTTCTTCAATATTGATCTAATTAACGTATAATATAATATTTATTACAAAACGTGTGTAAGTAAAAATGTTTTTTATTGTTTGGTATTTTAATTTCCTCGTGTATTATAATTAATGATATTTTTGGAGGTTTGTGATTTATTTTTAAATACTCTTGTACGACGCGCTCATCAATGCAGTGAACACCATACCTTATTTCATGAACAATAAAGACTCAATGTGAAGTTAGCAGCAATAGCTTCGCTATCGTTAAGTTGGCAACATGTAAACTATAGACAAAAAAACAGTTTCTTTTCAGTTCAAAAAGAATATGGCCGTGTTGGGGCCGTGTGTAAGTGTAAATATGAATGGGCACAATAATATTCATAGTCAGTTAACAAAATCGTTAGAGAGAATTTTGGAAGATGCTTATTTGAGTGGTGAATTAAAACTAAGTGGACGCAAGTTGAGGGAGTTTCCGAAACCAGTGAAGTATGACCTGAGCGATACAGTTGTAGCTGGTAAGTCCAGTTTTATAAATAAATCGTGCTGCATTTCTATGCGTTTTACGTATAATATTTTATTTTGGGTCTTGTTTTATGTTCTGTAAGTGTACTGGAGTGTTTTAGATACGTAACCTTGTTATTTTTACTTGCCGGCTGTTGTAGCGTCGCGGTGTCGTTTATTTGTCATCAAATCGATTGGGTATGATAACCACTTGAACAAGAATTTCGATACGATTGTATCTGCATTTCTAAGAATCCCTCCGATTATTAAAATACGTTTTATCTTACTTGAAAGTATACTTCAGACGATGTATATTGTGTTTTATGCTTATCGATATAAGTTGCAAAGTATATTTTGTTATTCCTGCTGCTTGTTTAGCCGCCGTTTATTCGGAACATGTGTTTTCGAAAACATTTGGTTATTATCATGTCCAAAGTACTTACATACTCACTGCAGTAACTACAAACAGCTAAAAAAAATATTCATGTAATTATTTATAATCTACTTATTCACATACGACTATCCTAATTACAATTTCAAATGTGCTTACTATGAGCACACGCTATTTCATGACCGGAAATTGAAGACTGAAGCCATCAGTTATCTGTACCTAAAACAAGTCAGTTTCTGCCCTCAAGTGCCTATTCACTGTCCTAAGAACTCATTTCCTGCACTATCTATGTGGGCATTAAAAGAGGAACTACAGACACATTTATAATCTATACCTACTTAGTTTATACAGCTGTCCATCTATAGGTATAAAAAAGATGATTCAACATGTAGTATTCTGCATTTAAATGTGCAGCTGCACATTATTCTTATTGGATATAAACACTTAAATCGTTACTGAAGTCTCATATCCATAATACATTTAAATACCTTGGTATAGCAAGTCTTAGTCACAGGACTGGACTGATTATATTCACTGCAGTTTCCTCCCAGTATACCGGTGCATTACCTGTTTGGTATGGGGAAAATCTCTTGGTCAGACTATTAATAAAATTATTGTAGACATTACCCACATAGGCATTGTAAATTTGAATACATTTCAATTTTTATGCTGTTAAATCAGCCTTTAAAATGGATTAATCTGTCAAACACCAAGCGGTCACCGGTGACCGCGACCTATTGTTCTTTAATTGTGTCTATAAAACCGGTACTCGACGAGTTAATACAAATGTACCTAATTTAAATTGCTTATTGTTAGATACCTTTTGTATAATTACTTTGGTGTATTATAAAACAACATAATTAACATAATAACTATGCCCTGTAACTAACTTAATTAAATGCAGTGTTAATCTTTGCTACCTCAGAAAGCATCATAATTTAAATTCTATTGTATAAAAAAGTTCTTACTGGACCACTCTGGGAATTAAAACATTTCAATCATTGTCTATTCCCATAACAACAGAAATGGATATAAAGTGTTTATTAGGCGAAAATGTGCCTAATGGCTGTATGTCGGCGACTTGTGCCCATAACTGGTTTCTTTATTACTACAGGCGCCATGAGATACCGTGTGGGCTATTCTAAAAAAAAAAACAACGTAATTTTTTTATTTCGGTGTTTCGCCGTAGTATGTTTTCGTGGGCGGTAGTGTATTTTTGTAGTTCTAAATGTTTGTTGTGATAGCGGCATTTGTCTAGTAAAAAGATAAGTTTCTAAGTAGTCTTTTATTGTGTGTAAACTTATTAAAACAGTCCATGTGATATTTACGCTACCAAAATTGGTTTTACAAAATAAATGCGTAGCAGATAATAATAGTTGATAAAATAAATATTATTAGTCTCCGAAATATCTATGACACTTTAATTTCGAGTCAAGGTTAAAGTTTGTCTCTCAAGGTGCTTGAGACTCCCGACGAAATTGTGGGCGGTCGATGACGACTGTCTCTGTCCAAGTTTAGTACATTTTACAAGATATAGAATTAGAAAAGCACATTTTAAAAACGTATTCACCCTGAACACCCCATTTTATTCCCTTGGGTTAAATATGACTAAAGAAAAAAACTTTTACCGTAATCATGTTATAAAAAATCGTATGCTTTTGGGTGTTAAACCACAGGCTAGACAGGCGCTGATTCCCTAAGAAACTATGAACACAGTTTCAGCTGCTGATCTGATACGCAATAGTATCCTACCTAGCGAGGAGAACCTAACGGGTAACCGGGGCTCCGGCTCGACGTGCAGGAGAAGGAACGGGGTGGTTTTTAGTCAGTAAGAGTCTGACAATCCCTCCCGCCTCACTCAGGCGGGAGCAGTCATTCGATGATTTTCCCCCCTTAAAAAAACCTAGTACCTAACTATACATTGAGCACACAGCAAAAGACAGTATTATTTCAACTTAGGTACCTAATATGACTTAGAAATCGTCATTGCATAACTACGGTGAACGCCTACACTCCTGTAACCAGTTTCCCTCGATTAATATTAAATGAAAACTCGCGTGGGTTCACTAAGTTACAAGATACCTACAGTTACTTCGCTATTGCTTAAATTAAGTCGTCAAACACAGTAGAAAACTACTTAACGTGAAACTATGTTTTCTATCGATACTCTAACTTCACCGACCGGAGGTTATTGTACTTACCTATATTTTAACAGACTATCACCTATTCTAATCAAGCTTTAGAATTAATAATTCCTATGAACGTTCATAGTTCTTATTTTTGCTACGTATTTATTCGAATGCCTATGACATACATCGACTAATTTTAGTATCCGTGCATCGATTGTAAATGCTAGACTTTGGTATTAACGGTACTTATGTGTCATTGAATCGTGTGGCAAATTGAAGATTGCTGAAATTACCTAAGAATAATTGTAAATTACGTAGCTATACGACTGTGTAGCCGGACATAGTTCTAAGTTCATTACGAACTCTACTAAAGTTCCAAATTGTATTTTATCATCAATCTGTTTTCAATGCCATCCACTCCTAGACATGGCTGCTGTACTTAACTCCCTAAAAATATAAATGATTACACGATTAAACGCATTAGATCTCGATCGATGATTCATAAATTCCTACTAACTATAGATCTATATACTGCCTCTTAACTGAATTCCGTTAAGAAATGCCAAAAATGCGTTATTTATGACAAGGGCGTCAAATAGATCTCTCCGATAACCACTGAGCTCTATCTTTCAGCTCTTCACTTTGCATAACGTCGAATCAACAAAATCATTAGCATTTTTTTTAATCATAAAAGACCTCTCACACCGAAAATAGAATGGCCGTTCTGTTTACTTTATTATCTGTGTAATTAAAACGTTATCGAATGCTTTAATGTTTAGACAAAGAGCGTGTTCACTGTAGTAATCACATAAGAAAAGAGAGAGTCTGGTTGTTTAATTTATATGCTAAATACGGAAATGTACGGGTTGAGCTCGTCTGAAGTAAGTACTTTCCATGTGGTACCACTACCATACTTCTTAACTCATACAAATGTAATTAAAAATTATTAAACAAAAAATCATTAGAAATAGACACTTTTGCAATCAGGAAAAGCTGCCACTCAACAAAATTCGACCTTTACAAGTTTATTAACTAAAATCAACCAAAGAAATTACGTATTCAACTGACGTCAGACAACTGAAAGGTCAAAATAATCCCGGATCATTAAAAAATATTCTCATTCCCAATTCTCAGAAGTACTTATCCTGCTTTGTAATTCTTAAGAACTTATTCCTTACTTATTCACTACGTTTTGCAACTTGAAAAAGCTTGAGTGATTACAACCTATCCATAAAAGGAGTTTTACTTTAAAAAACAATACCTCGTAATCTCGAATCTCGAAAGACAATGATGTAACTTCCTTTGAAGACTTAGTTTTTTGTGTCAGTTTTTTTGTCTAGTATTGTGTTTCAAGTTTAACGTTATTTAAATCGGAGCTTTTGTAGAGAAACTGCGTCGTTAGTACCGGTATCAATATACTAAAGACACGAAATCTAATCTTAGGCGAAAAATCGGTCTAGAAATCCCATTTTTGAAAGATTGTTAGTGGCATTTTATCAAAAGAAGCAAGCAAGTAACAAACATATGATAGACTCGTTTAACTAATAAAATACATATTCCATACAATTGTTTAAATCAATCTCTGAAAAATATTTAATTATGACCGCATTGTGTGTCCTTTGTGACCACTGAACAATGGACCTTGGTATCCAATAAGTATCATCGCAGCTATATATATCTTTGTATCGATTAATCTCATCTGTTTACACTGACGACACGTGATTCCTAAGTTACTAACCGCGATCGGAATGCAATGTCCTAGCATATAATATTAACCCTAGACTAAAGTTATTAGAGCTCATGGTAACATATCTTGAAGTATCTCATCACTATCACTAACTTTCATGTCCATTTGACCACTTTTTTATGGCATAAGCCTGTAGACGAGCAGACGGATCACCTGATGGTAAGCAATCGGCGTCGCCCATGGACACCTGGAACACCAGAGGCGTTACAAGTGCGTTGCCGGCTTTTTGGGGATTAGGAGTTTGAAGATCGTTGGCAATTCAGGGATTGGGTAGATTGGGGAAGGGGAGGGTAATTGGGCCACCGGTAACCTCACTCACACGACGAAACACAACGCAAGCGTTGCTTCACGTCGGTTTGTTTTGAGGCCGTGGTATCACTCCGGTCGAGCCGGCCTATTCGTGCCGAAGCATGGCTCTCCCACACTCGAAAACTTTAAGTGTATACTTACCTAGAATTCTTCTGTTAAGCAGTATCACTAGTCCAAATTAATAAGTTATACGCTGGATCAAATTAGCACGAATGTCTATAATAGGTCCACATTTCTTTAAATGAGATCTGTACTTGATTTTCCCACTCAATGGTATAAAAACTAGTCCGATTTCAGACTCAGGTCTTAGCACCGTAATAAAGACAACAAGTCTAGTTTTATTCTGGCATGGACACATTTGTATGACCTACTGATAGTCGTAGTGGATCTGTGGGAATGTGAAATTCACTGAAGATTAAACTGACAAAATTTTACTGT